TCAGCGATCATGCTAAAGATCATATTGGATTTCAAAGATCAGATGTTTGACAACTCCTATAATTTTTAATTATATATACATATAATTAAAATATCTGATCTTTGAAATCCAATATGATCTTTAGCATGATCGCTGATCATGTAAGAAGGATAACTCCTTACTTTTCTTGTTTGATATAGAAAACATGTTCTTCATAAATATATTATACCATTTGTATGTAATTCATATTTCTACTTTGTCCATCCAAAGTGCCATGATTATCTCATTGAAACTTGAACATGGTTATTAGTGATTAATGTGGGTACGGTACCTAAAACTATCACAATTAGTTAAGTAGGACTACCTAAGGGATTTCCAAGAATGTAACCAAATGACCTAACTTTAGGACGAGGTGCCTCATAAATGGGGTCGCAACAACAAAATGACACGCAACCGTGATTTCTCGCAGATATTTTACAACGAGAATTCAGTTGAGTGTTCTTACATGTTTGTGAGACAGGGGGGAAATGGGAATTGAATTTAGCCATATATAACCCTAATTTCTTCCTGGTAAAAATGGGACAACTTGGGAGGGGCTACTTCCAGGAAAAGTTTAGCTCCTTGAAATCACCTAGCGATGACAATGGGTTGCCTTGGCCATTGAGTCAGAATAGGGTAGATAGTGATTGCTCAAGTCTCATGTGGAAGGAGTGCCTTGTGTGCTTATAATTACATTTGGCACATTTCCTTTTAAAAGTCGGTTTTAAGAGTGAGTGCTACCCAATTGCTTGTAGCATTAATAATTTGTGCTAAAGGTACCCTTACGTCTCATGAACGAAAATGCCATATATGATCCTTAGCCCTCTACTTATAGTAGTTTTTATCTCAAGTTCGCGAGTCGCAACACTATAATTGTTGGGTATGTTCAAATTAACAACGAGGAGTGATAGAAATAGTTAACCATGAGAAAAACAAACAAAAACAAAACGAAAACAAAAAACAGTAATGGCCGAAAAATGGCCGGTATTGTTCAAATTAACAAGAGATAGAAATGGTTAACCATGAGAACAACAAGCAAAAACAAAATTAGAACATAAAACGGTGATGGCCGAAAAATGGCATGCGGCCACCCGGGCCTTGTGTTACAATTACAGTGACCATTTTGGTGAACTAGGCTCTAGTTGCATTTTTTAATTCTTGTGTCGTTTTGAAGGGTTTTAACCATTTTAGCTTGGTTGTTGCACCTTTTTGTGCATTGTGATTATAATTCTAAATATATAAGTTGTTTTCATAATTGAAATCA